TTGCAAAGTGCATATGTATCGAATATATTTGAAAGATAAATTATCCAAAAGTAATTAACATAACTCTTTTACAAACAATTAAAGCGATAGCTTTAGCTACAACTACCAGAATTCGTGATCCCTGTCGATTTTCGAAACGTGTTTACATAAAGTGATTGCTTCGTTTCGCTGGATCATTATTTCCACGATCGGTGAATTCATGCACACGAAATGAGTTGTACTTGTGGCGATCGTAAAATTTAAGAGAATTTAAATACTGATAGCAGTTACGTTTACATCCGATTAAATGCACGTGTATACTTAACGTAACGTGTTTACAATGTATACAATGGAGAAAATCATTTCCATTTCGTTTTATTTTATTCTCTTATCCTCCCTGTTCGAGCAGCAAGTAATAAAAGTATCATTTATTTTCAAAAGCACGGGATAACGTTCAAATTGCATATATTTTAATATAATCTTATCATTACGCTATTTGCATTATAACTAATTGCATATGTTTCAACATAATCTTATCATTAAGCTATAAAGGAGAAAGGATGAATTTTAATAATGAACTAACAAATTCGAATTCGATATGATAAATTGTTCAAAGTATAGAACCAAAACGTAACCTAGTGAAAATCTAATGTCAATGATCATTTAATTGTGAGATATATATATCATGGATATTGATATTAAACAAATACAAAAACTTCTGAATCAATATTTAACATTCTTACGCAATCTTACACAATGCCATTTTAAATACTACATCTAAATATTATTGAATATTCTTTCAAATTTTTTTTATTTCATGGATTTTCAACCTTCATTTATTCTTATACTTTTTAACCTATATCGTAAATAATTAACTTATCCATTCACCATTTTGTTCTATTTATTAATTTCACATTTCGTTTGTGATAAGAGAGGGTTTCGATCGAAACGTAATTCTTGGAACGAGATTTTTCTTATTTGTTACGAATAGACAACAATGTTCGAACAAATCGAATATTGTTTCATCGAAATTCTTCTTTAATCGATAGCAAGAATAAAATTCCTTTTCTTGATATGATACATACACGTCTTTTCACCCTCTTTCGCCTCCTTTCCTCGTTCCTCATTCAAAATTCTACAAAAATCCGAAAATCTCGAGATCAGGAGGAATAAATCCGCGAAATTGTTTCGCTAACCAAAAACCACGCGTCCTTTAACTTGGTCGCTGGGACAGATTTTTCACTCGTGAAAAAGAGGAAAAGAAAAGAAAAATGTCTGGTTGTATCCCGGCCAGAGAGGTGAATTACTACGGTTTCAAAGTTTCTCCAATAGGCGAACCTCGCGCGGAACAGTGCCGAATTTCACTTTTCTTTTTTTTTTTTATTCGCTCAAATGCATCCGGCCAGTTAAATTATGATTTCGCAACGGAGAGAGTGAGACAGAGAGAGAATAAAAGCGACTCCACACCTGAGCAACGCGCATTCAATGCAACTTCGAAAAGGGGTGGAAACAAAGAGCGCAGCGACCGACCATTTATAATTTCGCGATATTCCGCGTTGTGATGCGCGGGAAAGACGGAAGCAAAGAGGGAGGGGGTAAAGAAAGGAAAAAAAAAAGAAAAAGAAGAAATTAGATTAGATTGATAAGCAAGAGACAACGTCAAAGTGGCGTTTCCCTTATCGAAGCTTCGAACTCTCGATAAAGATTATCGTCACGGTGATGATCGACCATTTTAAATTGCGATGTTCGATCGATAGTTCGAAGTATAGTTGGAATTTTTTGGTGAATTTTTTCGAGTAACGAGCAATGGTTAATCGAAATAAAGGAAAAAGAAAAAAATATCGGCGGTTAAATGTATAGATAATCGTTGAATCGTCGATGATTTCTTGAAATTTTAATTGACGCTTTTATCGTGGAAACGCCTATATATACTTTATACAATGAATTACGACAATGAATCTACTTGATTAAGGTTATTACGTAGTTATTGGATAATTATATTTTCGTCGGAATTGTATTAGAAATTATACGAATTAGATAATATAGATCAAGATTATTAATAATTATTAATAATTAACGAATAGTGAAAATGGTAATTGATACAGATATCGAATATATTTTAAATTAAGGATACAATGAATTTGACACAATTTTCTTGTCGTTTTTAGATTATTCCTAATAAGAGAATTTTATTAAGAGAAATACGATTTTTAGCATAAAAATTTATCTTTATTGATAATTTATTTCACGATTTTGTTGTAAAATTTTTATCTTTTTTAAAGCAATATTCGAATCGAGAATTTCTTTTTCTCGAGAAAAATGTCTCGTGGTTTTTATTGAAATTAACGATAATAACACGCTTCCTCGTGTCGCCATCTTCATTCTTTATTAAATGTCACAGGAAAGTGCATCCCTTCGTTACATAAACTTATGCGCTGTTTAAAATAACTACATTATCATCCCCATAAACGAGACATCTAATATTTACAATATTACATTGCATAAGCCTGATACTTTTAAAAAATTAAAATTTAACGATGCTAAATTTATCATATTCTTTTTTTTTTATATATTTTTATTAAATTTTTTTATAAATTTGATTTATTTATATCGCCATTCGATTCATAAATTCTTTTATATCGCTAATTACTTTGAGTGGCCAATATAATTTCATCGGATATAAAGATTTGCAAATTTTTACCAATTTAACGCAAACATCGATCGTTCGATTCGTGTTTTATTTGCATTAAATTAGAATATTGTTATACTTCGTAAATGTAAAATTAAATTCAAAAATTTTAATTGTAATTAGTGAAATGTTAATTAACGTACGAATTCCATGTCGCACTTTTCATTGAAAGCAATCTTTCAACCGATATATGAAACAGTTTTTTCTGAAATTTTATAATTTCGTTATCTCGTCATCTTTTCTCTTCATTTACCCTTTCTTTTTAACGTACGTAACAGTTTGATCAGTCATCAGATATCTAAATAACGAATATATTTCTTTACATTGCATATCTTCTTTAGAAAAGAAAAGAAAATATATTTCTGTATATTATGATTGGTAAAAAAGAATTTTTTTCTTAAACGATCTAAACTTCTCTATCGTAAAAAAAAAAAAAAAAATAAAATAAAAAAATAATAAACAGACAAAAATGTATTCAAAACATGAATGGGAGTTGATTTCATCCCCTCAAAGAGTTTTCCCGTCGACAAAAAATTATTCCATGTTCTCCAACCCTTTATATACGTACAAACTTTCTGATTAAAATCAGAATTTTTGGAGTAAATAAATTATAAAATATTCGTATCTCTAAAATATTTTCGCGTATCTTTTTTTTCCTTTTTCCTTTCTTCCTTTTCAAATCCGTAATAATCCGCAAGAATAAAGAATCTCTTTACGAAGGATTGAATCATTTCATGATAAAAAAAGGAAATATCCATTTATAAAAACGAAATATAAATATACTTTCGTCGATGTACAATAATAAGTCCGTTTAATTAAAAAAAAGTAAAGGAGAAAAAGAAAATAAAATTAATCGTCTCGAGAATCTCTGGTTAATTGTGAACCAACGTTATCCTCTCAATAGATGTAACTCTCCGTAGGGGAAACAATGAAGCTAATCGACCGCACGGTCGTTCGAAAGTCGGAGAAGAAACTAAAATCTGACGATCGAAAATAAGCGAACCCTTCGTTTACCGGGATAACTATTCGAAAGAATAGTTAAAGAAATGGAATAACGATAAAAACTCGTTATTATCTCGAGCATACGGGATTTTAGGACACGTTTACCTTTAATACGTAACACGCCACCCAAAGACAACTCTCAAACTTGAGTGGCGTAATTGAAGGGTCGAAGCAACAAAGCCGGTAAGTGGTTTCGCGCTTTTCAAATAATAAAGTTTGTACGTACGAGAAGCAAGTCTAGGCAAAACTTTAGGGGATTAGATATTCTGTTAATTTACAATTATTTTGAAATTAATATTACGTATTTATACAAATTTTTTAAAAATTCCTTTAAAAATTATATCATTTTTTAAAGGACAAAATGTCAAATATTTATAAATCGAGAATTATTGTTACTTCTTTCAAATTTTATTTTTATTTATTTATTTTATCATTTTTTAAAGGACAATGTCAAATATTTATAAATCGAGAATTATTGTTATTTCTTCCAAATTTTATTTCTTTTCCGTATAAATCGTGAAATTAGCGTGATCATAATTCTTTGAAAGATTCTTTTCGCATGTAAAGAATGATAATATTCGAAAGTATCTTTACACAGCATGGCACGATTAATAACGTATGGTGCAATTAAGTAATTGTAGATTTAAATTGGACTGGAATGACTACTTCGACATTACGAATTCTCTTTACATACGATATACCTTTAAAATCATTACTTGACGTTAAGTTTAACGTTAAGTAATTACTCCTATTGTAAAAAAAAACAAAAAAACTATTCGTCCATAAATTTGCATAAATGCACAATAAAGATTGGAGATCCACAATTCAATCCCAAGATTTCAAGTATTCTTCTCATTTTCCAATATCCACTTAGCACAATTAGACTTATTCCCACCTTCTAAAAAGCCTCTCGAAATCAGCCTCTCGACGATAAATCAAATTAATTCCACAAAAAGATGTTTAAAAAAAGCCTATTCCCTGTTCCCCAACAAACATTCTCACCCTTCTGTGCCAAAACCCTTCTCGAAATCTTCCCTTTCGGCCCAATCCATCCGCTTCCTCCATCTCTTCGCACTCCCTTCCAATATCGGGATAAAATTCTATTTTCCCCGATATCGCGTCACTCCAAAAATTCACAAATTCACTGATCGGTATATATCTCAATCTCAATATATACAACAATATATAAAACTCGTATATAACACCACACTGGTATAACAACAACCAGCCAAACGGAAAAAGTTGTTGTTTTTCACAATTGTCACGTTGTGGAATAAAAAAAAAAAAAACCCTTACGAGTTGATAAAAATGCAACACCTACCTGGTCGAGTGGCCGAGCTGGCTGAGCGTGGGGTTGAACACGATCGAACGAAGAGGTTATACACTGGAGGATCGTCCGGTTCCAACGAAGGACGGTTGGAACTCGCGAGATTTTCGAGGAGAGGGGGAGAGAGAGAGAGAGATGTGTGTGTGTAAAGACAGAGAGAGAGAGAGAGAGAGAGGACAAGCGGCGAACACTGCGTGAACAAACAGCGGACGACGAGAGCGCACGACGCGAATGACGGACAGATGAAGCACAAAGTGCGCGCAGCGAGCTCGAGCTTCTCCTCTTTATACCCTCGAACTTGCACCTGTGCTTGCGCAGATCGGCCTCTTAAGCTTCGTCCACTCGGCCCCTTGGTTCCCCACGGGTGAACCACGTGCTCCAATCGTTCCACGCATCGGTGCCCCCCTGTTTTTCGCTTACCTCGAATCGAATCGTTTTCACGCCTTTGCTCCGGACAGCTTCCTTACGAGGAACCTTATCGCTCCTCGAGGTTTGGCTGCGATTTCGGTGGATAGATACAGGTTGATCCATTCCTGGAACACGTTCGAGGAAGATTAGATAGAGTTCGAGTCGAATGTATGGAAAATATGAAAATATACTTACTATTTCGTCAGCAATTTTGCGTTATGACAGACTAGATGGCGTGATGGAGATGGAATTCGTCTGATTTTGTAAGTATAATCTTGATTCTTTTGTATCTTTGTGTAGTGATGATTAGAGAGAATCCTAGAAGAAAGAAAAATTCTTGTTAATATAATATTGAGGATGTTAGATTAATTTTGTTGGTGGTAGAAATGTGGAGATTAGAAGAATGGAGATTAGAAATGGTTGCTTGCTAATCAAGGTTTTAGTATAATCTGTCTAATACTCGTGTTTCAACGTATTCATTGATAAAATGAATAAAGTTAATTGAACTTTTCGTATAAAGAAATGTGTTAAGTGTCTCTCAATATTTGAAATTAACCTGTATGTGGAAAAGATAAAATTAGTATATTATTGTGTAGAAAAGATAAAATATAGTGTAAAATATATTGTATTAACAAGGTTTACCTTTATCACATTAATAACTTTCACTTGTATTTTTAATTTAGAATTTATCTCTATTGAATTTCCCATTCAACAGGTAACATGAGCAAAAATGTCAAAATAAAATATCCTAAAATAAAATATATTTTGGAATTAATTTTGCATTCCTTTTCTTTTTAATCTTATATCTTTTGGTTAATTATCTTATAAATTGATATTTGATTTCGATAAGATATTATATAATATAAAGAATATTCAAATGATTCTTCATTGCATCTTAAACACCATTTTTCTTTCCACATTGGTTGACGCGTGAATTATGTCTTTTTACGTAATAATATCTTTAGCAAAACATGTTGTTGAATGTCTCGAACATTAATAATGGACCGATAATACATCTTTTTAGAATGCAATACGTAAATTTTTTTCTTAAAAATCAAACACTCCTATAAAATAAGACATTCTTTATTTTTATATCTATTTACCGATATACTTAATTAATTATTTCAAACGATTGTTCATCTCCCAATTCGTAATCGATGACAAAAATTTGATATCTGTTTAATTAGATAGATATCTTGACCAATTACATAATATTTGAATAAATTTCCAAATATTAATTTAGATAAATATCTCGAAGCTGTAATATTAGGCTGTATCGGGCAATTTGTGGTGAAATTTAGGAATAACTAGAATTTTTTTTTTTCCCCTCCTTTATTTTCCCATTATTTCTTTTCGTTGACCTTTCGTGGACAAAGATGGGCAATTAGCCAGGGACCCAGTTCTGGACCCGTGGTACATTAAAATACGTACATAATTTCTGCTCCATTGTTCAATGGCGACATCTTGCACAACTTTACCGATATTTCGATTACACGCACAGAGAATGTATAAGCATCTTTTCAACGGTAAAATTCTAAACACCGAGCAACACATAGCTCTTTGAACAACGTAAAGCGGTTTAAAATTTCACGAAGACATGTCCTTGTTCATGCTTGCACACGAGAACGTGTATCCCATGCACAAAATAAGAGTATCGTGGGAATTATTCTTTCCCTTATCTCGTATTCTCAAAGTGATTATCGATAAATCTTCTATCAATCTTATAAATTTTAACCCAAATCTTTAAATTAAATCTTCTTCTTTTTTTTTTTTAAATACACATCATTATGAAATGGCAATTCCTTCCTTTTTAAATTAGAAAAAAAAAAATAAGTTATATAATGAATAATGAATAAAAATTATCAAACAATAAAATTTAACTTACGATATATTTAATTTACGTTTAAATTATATCATTGCAATAATTATTACAATTTTTTTATTGACAAGTTAAAAAAATTGTATCTATGTTTGTAATTATAAAAAAATATCGTTGATTAGTAATTTTTTTTAAACAATATATTATTTATTATTAATTGAATAGCTATAGTTTCACGTGTATGTGATATAATATGTTTAAAAAATTTATCTCGTCGCTTTTTTCGTCGACCCTTTCTGGCCTGTTTCCAAATTAATATGCACCAAGTGAATAAATAATCTGAACTTGCCATACGCGTATGCGACACTTCTGTACTCCACTAAATTTTATCCATTTGTTTCTATTAAAACTTAAATTTTAATGTACAATGTTTATTTGTTCATTTGTCGTCATAAATTATCAGGATATATTATTCAGATATTAAATATTCACGAAGGTTCATGATATTTAGATAATCACACAATTTGTATTCAGTAATTTTAAAAATTATTAAATAAACGAATTCAATCTAATAATTATCAAAATAATTTTATACATAACGAGCAAATATAACTAAATACCTATCTAAAATTTTTAAATTCATTCTTCTTCTTTTTTATTCTTTTATTATATTCATCATTCGTTATGATCTTTTCAATAATATAATTACATTTATAATTTAATAAACGTTCAATTATAAACTATCAATTTACAATCATACAACATAAATTTATTAATTAATCTCATAAATTGAACATACCTATGTGCATGTATATATAATTAAATTTTCAATATTTATTTCATCTATTTTAAAACACTGTAGTTTCATTCATATTCTTTTTAATTTCATTCTATTGCTGTAATTTACTATAAGAGAGATATTTTAAAAAAATGTTAATGTCTCCATTTAATTTTATTCTTATATTTTTATCCAGATATTACGAAAAAATATCTGGATAAGAAAAGAAAAGATATTATATAACAAAGATGTTGCTGTACTAATTTCCAATTTCAATTAATTTTATCAATAATGAAAAGGGAGGAAAGCGAGGCGACGTCGCGTGAAAGATGACAGCGATATTAACCGGCTTGAAATAGAAAGAGATGGAAAGAAACGAGAGTCGAGGCAACACGTGTTAATAAGTCACAAAGTCAACGGTGCAAATGGTTGGTAAGAACGATCTGTCTGACTGGAAATCGAGAACAATGGAGAACCAGATGGAGGATCGATCAGCTACACATTCCTGTGATTGATACGTTGACAGATGTACAATGGAACATCGATTAAACGAATTAATCCATTGTATCACAACGAAGTTGGTACGGAAATTTTTTTTACTTTATTTTACGATAATTTTATAATTAAAAAACTCGAGTTTAAAATACTTGTTTGTGAATAAGTGAAGTTAAAAATTAACAAACATTACATTGTTCGCATACCAGGATGAATAATAATCGAATTCTATTATCCTCTGATTCTATGTCTTTATTGCACTGAAATAATTTTAGATTGATTAATTGAACCAACAATTGTTAAACCTTTTTTCAATGATAATTGTTTCTAATTATTAATTTCAATTAATTAATCGCTCATAATTATAATTTCTCGATCGTAACATATGAATATACTATTTCAGATCCATCCTATTTTACATGCAATAATATATATATATATATTTATAATTCGTATATAATATATTTATAATATATTTATAATATAATATATTAATAATTCATTCAACAAACAATTCAAGATATAATATATTTATAATCCGTTCAAATCGCTAATTCCACCATTCGAAAGAAATTTTGAATTTATATAGAAAAAGATCAATCTCGAGAATCATACCCTCGAATGATTTTGTTGCTCGAAATTCCATCGAAGATGTTCGATCGAAAAATGGTTGACATCTTCGGGGAAGTGGTGCTCTCGTTTGCTGGCTTCCGTCAATCAAACCGCAACTTACATACCACCTTCGATCGCGGATTTCATGGGTTTCGGTGCACGTCGGTTAATTTGATTTATAACAGATATAAATTGCGATCGGCCAGCTTTACATCTGTAATACCAAGATTGTCTCTATTAATTAGAGCTGTTCGATTTAATTTCGCGAGCGTGGACAACTCGAGTGTTACGTGGGAAAGAAGAATAATTAAATCAATAATTAAATCATTGATTGTTGTATCATGCTTGCAATCATAAATATAATTGAATAAAAAAGAATATGGAATGTGAACATATTCCATATTCTTTTATATTCAATTTTTTGATAAAACTGAATCACCAAGAAATGTTAAATTGGTTAGTTTATTTAGATTGTTTTTATTGAATTATATATTTTTTATCGATTTACAGAATAAATTATATTATTATTACATGATACAACGAATATACACACGGATTTTAATGAATGACTTACGATATTGATTGAATTTTTATTATGAAATGTATCGATGTAATGTTAACTCTAAATAAAATACAATATTATTTCATTTCTATCATTTTCTTTTATCTACTGTTTCGACCATTATACACGAGTTATTAACACGTACAATCTCTTATTACAGTAATAGAAAAGATACGAGATTACAGGAAGAATATTACATATTTGTGTACCACTAGCATTCCATTTTATTATAATAGGGAACACAGGTAAGAAACTATGTATCCTATTCGAATAGCAGGATGTTTGAATAATAGAAGTTTCGCATACTAGGATGAATAATAATCTATTATCCTCTGATTCTATGTCTTTATACACTGAAAATTCCGGTGTATAAATAAATTTCAAGATATAATAATTTTAGAAATTGAATCAACAATTGTTAAACCTTTTTTTAATGATGAAACATCATATCAAGAAAATAAGAGAGAAGAAGTTACGATTATTGATTAAAATTTTTAAATTTGTTGTGAAAATTTGTTTTTATTATTAAAACTGTGCTTCGTATATTTGAGAATGAGAAGTATAA